CAAGAGCGTTGTATCACCGAATTGCATACCTTAAGTCCATTTATTGTCCTGGAACGTGGCAAGTATAAAATACAAAAAAGTAAGAAGAGTTTTACGGAAGGAAGGTAAGAAATTTTTCCGCCTAAGTTTTATTCATTGTTATAAAAAAAAAAGGAGGAAAACAAATTAGATGATCATTAACATTCCGGAATCCACATTCTGATGCAATTTTTCTCCTTTCGAAAAAAAAAATTAACATTCCGGAATTCATCCTGGTACGATTTACTTTGTTCTGGAAAAAAATTGATATTCCGGAATTCATTCGATGCTATTTTTTTTCTTTTTTTGTTTTTTTTGTTCTAAAAAGAGTATAGATATTAGCCAAGAATGAAACAGGAAAGATGAAAGTTTGAAAGAAGCTAACAAATATTTCCACTTCTACCATATTTTTATTTTATTATTCCAATTGTACTGTTTAAATTAGATAAATAATATTTTTCATTTAACTGATTTCTAACAAAATGATTGGTTTAATAGAAATAAAATTGGATTATTACTGCAATTTACTATAATTTACTAGCAAATTAGCTTGTAATAATTAGAAAATTTCAATTAAAATTTAATATAATTAATAGCATATACTATTTTCAGATATTTTTCATTATGGATTCATAGGATGGATTGGAAAATTTTGCAAGAATGTCGAGTGCTATCAGTGTGAAATTAATTTTGATACATTAATTAATTCTATATGAAATGGACAAAATTTCCAATTTTGCATTTGATGACAAGTTTTTCATTGAAATAATCGATATATATATTTCGTACAAACAATCCTTCTTGGTTTTATATTATTACAATGATATTTTCATATAAAATTTTATGCATTTTAATTTAAACTAAAATTGATTTTCCATCTGTTCGAATTGAAATAAATTGAACACATCGACTATATAAATAAGACGAGAAGCGCATATGTGCACATTTTAAAGGGAAAATTTTTCGAAATTATATTAAGCTTAAACTAATTTAGTTGGCGATAATGAAGAAGTATGTTTGTTTGTTTGTTTGTTTGTTTGTTTGTTTGTTTGTTTGCTTGTTTGTTTGTTTGTTTATTTTCGAATTATAATAATTTAAAGGAATTATGATAAGTAAATGAATTATGATTGTGATAATTATAATAAATTATGATAATTAAATTATTGGTAATTACAAAAGCTTAAAGTCATTAATCTCTTTTTTTTTTTCATTTGCTAAATGCGAATTTAGTAAAATTGTCTTCCATCAAATGAGGAAGAAGAAATGATTGAATAATATGAATCAAATTTTTTGAATGATTCGTTTAATTTCATATCAATTTTTATATTCGTAAAAAATTTCTCGTAAAAATGTAAAAAATATCATTTTTCAGATAATAATTAAATTTTAATTAAATTTGATCAATCACTTTGCTGATATTTCATTCATTCATTCATTCATGTCATTTTGCATATTGTATAAATGGTATAAATTAATTCATTGTTAATTATATCGCATAAATATACTAGTGATAAGGGGAGAAATTAAAATGATAGATCATGATAATAAAGGTGAAGTTGTTGGAAAAGCTAATCTGTTAACTTGATTTCATTTATCAGTGATATAGGTTTATTAGGGATGTGATATTATTCTTGCACAATATTACTAGTTAGCAGCGATGATAAAGAAATGATAACTGATAAGTAATGATGAGTTATACAATAAACAAGCTATATGATTGACTAACAAGTAGTTGACTGTCAGTTTGTTGATAAATTGCATAATGATTGAGAAGAGATCGTCATCCTTCGTCAAGCTTAGTATAAGCTGCAAAAGGAAGGTATCTATTAATCGGAGGATTATTCTAGTTCATTTTTGATGATAACAGATAGATGAAGAGGATGTTGTGATTTGGTTGATTATCAAAATTGTGTAAAATTTTTTTCATATACATATAAATATATATACCTAAGATTAGGAGAGAAGCTTTGATAAGATCAATCAGGGTTATCATGGAGGTATACCTGTCCTCTTAGCATGATCCAGCTACGAATAAGTACTGAGATATGTCTTTGTTAGCTTATATCCTATTCATTACTTTAATTTTACTTACAAAATTTTATTACCTGTACGATAGATATCGTAGAAATTTAATTTAAACGTAACTTTAATTACAGTAATTCGATAGAAGTTGCAAAAATCAAAAGAAAAAAAAACTTTTTCAAAATTTTTTAATTATTCGATTTGATTGCATTATTGCATTTGTAATAAATACTCGATGAAATATTATTTTAAAAAAAATATATGACGTATTTTTTTTCAAATTCATCAAATTTTTCAAGATTAAATGAAATTTTTAATTTAAAAAAAACAAAAATTTCAAAATTAAATGAAATTTTTAATTTTATAATTTAATCATTTAACATACTATTCCAACACTAGCAAATGATAATAAAACATACTTTAAAATTGTGAAAGAAAAATTATAAAATAAAATTATCAAATGTATATCTTGTATTATCATGAAATAAAAAAAAGAAAAAAAAAACTTACTTCAAACAAATCCATTGTTTGTCCATTTAATTAATTGATTTTTATCGAGTGTAACAAGTGAAGTTTTAAAGTTATCGTTTGTTACATTTTCTATACCAAGGTGAGTATGTTGTAGGTTAAACATTTTTTTTTTCTTTGATTGATTAATCATCACCCATTATCTAAAGAATCATTCATAAGAAACTAAAAGGTAAGGAAAATCGTTACATGTTAGCATTTCCACGTTTTTCAATTTTCCTTCATTTTCCTCCAACACTTGTTACCTTATCTTATCGATAGTACGTAGTAACAATTAGCTATCAGTTAATCGTAGTATTATCACTGATTACAATGAATGATTGAATTTGGCAGCGAGAAGGAGAAAAGTTCATTTAGTTCTGATAATCTCAATTGATATTCCAAATTATTCCGTGTACAGACGTGCGGATGCGTGAGCGGACGTATGCTGGCGTGTGTGCGTCAAAAATAGGTTGAAGGTAGCAGTAGTGCGTTAACAACGCAACATACATAATTTATCTCGTGCGTAGGTGTATGTATGCGGGGACAGACGTATGCTGATATAACTGTGTACCATAAATTCTTTGATTAAAGGTAAATATATAGATAGAACGTTTATAATGTGTTATGCTACATTTATGATGATATCATCATTATCATCATTATCATTATCATTATCATCATCATCATCATCATCATCATCATGACTAGACTTTATGAACGTTGATTTGGGAAAGGTTCTATCCATCACGTTTAATGCAAACGCTACGAATGTGGATGTATCCTTGAAGCCTGCGCAATTGAGCGAAACTATCATCTCCAACCTTTACTCCTAAGGTTTATCTACTAAATAACGGAGAATTTAGGATGATGGTTCTATTACGTTATCTTTCCCGTAGATGGATGACCTTATAGACTCAATTTGCCCGCATTTGGAGTTAGAATTTTCCTTCGCTTTAGGATGATTGCTGGGAGATTAGCGAACTCGTCCTGTCCAGTGGACATACTTTCTTTTACCTTTCAGTTATGATCTGTCTGGTATGGGAGATCGTACCGGAGGCAATTGCTAGTATAGCTTGTTCTCAAGCGCTTCTCCCCCGCGAAAGGGGGTCATCCATGGGAAAGACGTTTATGTAACGTTTATGTATATGAGTAGTGTTAACGAATGCATCAAATACACACGTGATGTAAATCCCAATGTATAATATAGCGTACATCACGGAAAGTCTTACCCATAAAAACGGGTAATCTGTCGGTGGTCACGGGCAATCTACCCATAGTCATAACAAACTGTTGAGTAGACTGACTAAGTGAAGAAAATCAAGAGAGTAATGACAGAACACACAGGTTGGTGGTACATCTGTCAGCAAAGACTCTCTACCTCCTTCCACTTATTAGAAGATATGAGCGTGTAAAGTGATGGATGAGTGGGTAACTTTTGTGCTACAACATTCATAAGACTCTTATCACGAATTATCGGAATGTTGCTTGTCTTGGAGTTTTCTTTTGCGCGGGATGACTAATTGACTGGGTTACCGATTGGAAAAGTCCGACCTTTTACTGCTGTGATTACTTGTTCCGCGCGGGAAGGAGGCTGTGATTCCGTCAGGAATTCCGCCACTTCATCTATCATTTTCATGTATCTCCAAAATTCTTAGCAAAAATATTTCGCTACACGTCATTGTCTAACACTCTCTCATATCCACCTTGGGCATGTAAATTGTTTTCTATTTTTATCTCAATTGATTATTTGTTTGAATTTGTCTTATATATATATATATATATATACTATATATATATATTATTGTTGTTATT